CTCGGTTACCGCTCCGGGTATCACCAAGCCTCGGGACGCCCCTGGTGCTGACATTAACATTGGGGGGAGGGAAAATGTTTTTATCCTTTAATGTCACTGAGTGTTTTTAATTTACAGTACATGCTCCTTTTTAACAGCTTAAGTTTAAATGAAATCATATTATGGTCACTGCTACCCAGATGTTCTTTTATATGAACATTTGTAATAAGCTCGGCATTGTTTGAGATTACCAGATCCAGAAGAACATCATCTCTAGTTGGGGCTTCTACAAACTGTACCATAAAATTGTCTTGTAGTAAGTTTATAAATGTCAGCCCTTTTACTGTACCAGCAGTGCCACTATGCCAGTCAATGTCAGGATAGTTAAATCTCCCTTTAATACGACTGTCCCCACCCTTGCAGCTCTTTCTACCTGTGTGAGTCTCTACCTTTTCATTCAAACAAAACAAATGGCAAACGCACTCATCAACTCATAACCAGCTTTCAAGCAAGGTGCACATGGAAGGGCTTTATACAATACAACAGCAAACAGGCTTTTCCAGCACACTCACCAGCCAGAATGCAAAAAAACTTGTCTCACCGCTAAGGTTAAAAATAGAGGTTTAGATACACGTCTTCTGCAGAATATGTGAAAGCCGCACAGCCCCGTCAAGGCACCTCTAAATAGTGCGGTCCTAACTCTAACCTATGAGAGTCTCCATCTTGGAGCACATGTAGCAAAAGATAAAATTGGGTGCAGGTTCACCAGGAGGTAAGGAGATTGGGCTGCCTCCTGGCGAACCTGCACCCAATTTTATATTTTGCTACATGTGCTCAAAGATGGAGACTCTCATAGTTTAGAGTTAGGACCGCACTATATGGAGGTGCCCTGAGGTGGCTGCGCAGCTTTCACATATTCTGCAGAAGACGTGTATCTAAACCTGTTTTTTAACCTTAGCGGTGAGACAAGTTTTTTTTGCATGCTGGCTGGTGAGTGTGCTGGGAAACATTTCGCTGTTGTACTATATGAAGCCCGTCCATGTGCACCTTGCTTGAAAGCTGGTTATGAGTTGATGAGTGCGTTTGCCATTTGGTTTGCTTGACTGATTTGATGCAGTGACACACTGGGGGTATCACTGCCATTGTGATGTGCAGGGTCCCTTGTGTGTCCCTTAGGTGTTTAGACCACCTTCCTGGCCAGGCCATTTTTCAGTATTCAGCGCTGCGGTACTTTGACTGACGTTTATTCCGTCATGCAACGCTGTACTGAAATTAATTTTATACCATTTTTTGGGGACACATAGAGCTTTCTTTTGGTGGTATTTAATCACCACTGAGGTTTTTTATTTTTTACTATAATTAGGAAAAATTACTAACATTTTTGGGGAATGTTAGGAAACATTTATTATTACCCAGTTTTTTAGTAAAATATAAAAGACGGGTCTTTTTAGATAATCGAATGCAGAGGCAATTATGATAAAGATTAGATACATTTATATAGTCTTACAGGCCCTTAGAGGGCAACCACAATGTTGATGCGGCCCTCGATTTAAATTGAGTTTGACACCCCTGTTATAGATAATGCAGCCATTGCTGAAATGTATGCATGTTTACGATACAAAGTGCTGTAGCAAACTCAAGGTCATTTAGTTAGGGTTTACATCAACTTTAAAAAAGTGTAACATGGGGGCCGTTTAGCAATCACATTCAACACTTTGCTTAGATGGTTTGTAATAGCAGGCTACTTTCACGGCAGGTCCAAACTCCAAATTGAAAACTTCCAATTGAAAGCAAAAGGTTTTCAAGGATGGAGCTCCATTACACCAAACTAGTCTAAGCCACTCTAAGGGCTCAAGCATCTGGGAGCTGCTTTTACCTCAATGGATGACCAGGGTGATGCAATGTACACCTGCTGACAGATGGTCCTCAAAGCATCAGCATTGTTATTACACTTAATGGCCAAAGATTTTTGAACAACTGCCCATCACACCTCTATGAGCTTGTTGGAAATTCAATTCTAAAACCATGGGAAATAATATGGAGGAGTTGGCCCCCTTTTTGCAGCTCTCCATAAAAGTTTGGTGTCTGTCAATGTGTGCCCATTCAGCTGAAAGAACATTTGTGAGATAAGGTACGAAGGTTGGAGAAGATCTGCCTCACAGTAAGTATTCCAATTCACCTTAAAAGGTGATCAATAGGGTTGAGGTTATTTGTGCAGGCAATGGGAGTTCCTCCACGCCAAGCTCATTAAACCAAACTATGTCTTAATGGAACTGGCTTTGTACACAAGTACACAGTGATGCTGGAACAGAAAAGGACCTTCCCCAAATTGTCTGAGATGTCTTTGAATTCTGTATCAACCTGAACTCAGTCGTTTGGAGAGGTGCTGCTCACTAAGGTTGGGCTCGATTTTTGAGCCGAACGCGAGTTTGATTTGAACATCGCTAGTTTGTGTGTTCGGCAGGCTGTTCACCCACCGAGCTCCCCTTAAGGCAATGCGCCTTCTGAAGCCATAATTTGACTTTGCCCAATCATGGCTCACCTGTTACAACTGTAAACAGTTGGGCGGAGCTAGCTGTCACTGCTAGCTCCGCCCAATTGTTTATAAGTTGCCGGCATCTGTCAAAATGCCATTCTGCAGTGGGTGTTCGTCGCAGCGGACGGCAGTCATCTTTTTATTTTTATTATTTTTTATTATTGTTTTATTTTTTATTTCCTCGAGTCATCGACGTTGTAGACAACGTTGGACATCGTGATTGACCCTGGATTACGTTGATGGATAATTTTTTTCTTTTTAATAAAAGGACTTCCTTTGTTGTGTTTTTTTTTTCTAATTAACGATTTTTGATTAAAGTCTGGTGTTTTTATTTAATCTATTTTTTTCTAACCCTTTAGGGAATGGTAGGAGTACAAGTTTCCCTTACTCATTCACAAGGGGGGGCGCATCTGGGTGCCCCTTGATTAAAGGGGTACCCTGATGTGAATAAGCCCCCTGCCCGCACCCCCACAACCAACGCCCCAGGGCTTGTGGGGAAGAGGCCGCGGCCCATCGCCATGGGGCGACCCTAGAAAAGCACCCTCCCGGTGCCAAGGGCATGTGGCTTGGTATGGATTAAAGGTCTGGTATGCCGGGCCTGTGCTCGGATCATGGGTCTGGTATGGAATTTTAGGGCAGACCCCACGTCCCCCGTCCCCCCTGCATATTTTGGGGGTTGGGGTTCCTCCTTAAAATTCCTATAAGACCTTAAGGGCCTGGTATGACTTTAAGGGGGAACCCCACACACTTTATTTGTTTTTCTTTACATGGGGTCCCTCCTAAAATTCCTGTTTAAGGGGACCCCCCAGGCACGATATTTAAAGGAATTTTTCATTTTTATTGAAACTCTTTAAGTGATGTTAAAATCACTGCTCCTTTAAAAACTGTGGATTTTTTTCTTTGATTCCTGTCCCCCAGGGCAGTACCTGAATCCCCATACACTTTTTATGGCCAATAACTTGCATATAAGGCTTTAAAATGGGGACATTTCATTTTCAAAGTTCTACCCCCATAGAATTACATTGAGTTCGAATTCAAACTTTTCCCATGTTCTAAAGTTTAAACTCGAACCAAACTCAGGTGTGTTCGACTCATCACTAGTGCTCACATAGTTTTGGCTATATAGTAGCAATGGTCAGGTGTCCAAAACCTTTTGGACATATAGTGTATCTCCAAAACAGGAATACCATTCACCACAAATGAATAAACGTGTCTACTTATTTACTTTTTCTGGGTAGATTTCCCTCTTCTTCTTCAGAACATCCACAGCCTCGCTGGAGTGAATGAGTCGGATATGAACTTGTGCCAACCCCGTCCATGGCAGAAGGAACGTAGCCAGATAGCTACCGTTGCCATAGTCCCTTACTTGACCAGTAACGCCAGCCTTTAGGTTCGGTCATGGCTCACCTGTTACAACTGTAAACAGTTGGGCGGAGCTAGCTGTCACTGCTAGCTCCGCCCAATTGTTTATAAGTTGCCGGCATCTGTCAAAATGCCATTCTGCAGTGGGTGTTCGTCGCAGCGGACGGCAGTCATCTTTTTATTTTTATTATTTTTTATTATTGTTTTATTTTTTATTTCCTCGAGTCATCGACGTTGTAGACAACGTTGGACATCGTGATTGACCCTGGATTACGTTGATGGATAATTTTTTTCTTTTTAATAAAAGGACTTCCTTTGTTGTGTTTTTTTTTTCTAATTAACGATTTTTGATTAAAGTCTGGTGTTTTTATTTAATCTATTTTTTTCTAACCCTTTAGGGAATGGTAGGAGTACAAGTTTCCCTTACTCATTCACAAGGGGGGGCGCATCTGGGTGCCCCTTGATTAAAGGGGTACCCTGATGTGAATAAGCCCCCTGCCCGCACCCCCACAACCAACGCCCCAGGGCTTGTGGGGAAGAGGCCGCGGCCCATCGCCATGGGGCGACCCTAGAAAAGCACCCTCCCGGTGCCAAGGGCATGTGGCTTGGTATGGATTAAAGGTCTGGTATGCCGGGCCTGTGCTCGGATCATGGGTCTGGTATGGAATTTTAGGGCAGACCCCACGTCCCCCGTCCCCCCTGCATATTTTGGGGGTTGGGGTTCCTCCTTAAAATTCCTATAAGACCTTAAGGGCCTGGTATGACTTTAAGGGGGAACCCCACACACTTTATTTGTTTTTCTTTACATGGGGTCCCTCCTAAAATTCCTGTTTAAGGGGACCCCCCAGGCACGATATTTAAAGGAATTTTTCATTTTTATTGAAACTCTTTAAGTGATGTTAAAATCACTGCTCCTTTAAAAACTGTGGATTTTTTTCTTTGATTCCTGTCCCCCAGGGCAGTACCTGAATCCCCATACACTTTTTATGGCCAATAACTTGCATATAAGGCTTTAAAATGGGGACATTTCATTTTCAAAGTTCTACCCCCATAGAATTACATTGAGTTCGAATTCAAACTTTTCCCATGTTCTAAAGTTTAAACTCGAACCAAACTCAGGTGTGTTCGACTCATCACTAGTGCTCACATAGTTTTGGCTATATAGTAGCAATGGTCAGGTGTCCAAAACCTTTTGGACATATAGTGTATCTCCAAAACAGGAATACCATTCACCACAAATGAATAAACGTGTCTACTTATTTACTTTTTCTGGGTAGATTTCCCTCTTCTTCTTCAGAACATCCACAGCCTCGCTGGAGTGAATGAGTCGGATATGAACTTGTGCCAACCCCGTCCATGGCAGAAGGAACGTAGCCAGATAGCTACCGTTGCCATAGTCCCTTACTTGACCAGTAACGCCAGCCTTTAGGTTCGGAGAATGCAGCTTGGCCTGGAAAAAGTCTCCGCCATATTCCTTCGGATGACCGTTCTGATCCCGAGCTGTAATTTCCACTTCCAGCGTCTCACCAACCTTGTAAGTGTCCTGAGGATTCAGGATTCGGTAGCCACATTTTCTGGGGTCGGTAGAAAAATTTAAGTGTTCTACTTGTGATGGTGGCTCCGGCCAGTCAATCAGTTTGATAAGATCAATGAACTTTGGGTTAATGGTTGCCATGGGTGTGGTTTGGGGAGCAGAATTTGTAGAATATATGTGCTTCTTAGGAGCAGGTGGTCTGTACTTCACCACAAAATTCATAGTTAGGAATCTGAAAATAATCTGTAAATAACAATAATTACTTTGTGAACAATTATAATAAGATGCATTCTATTTAACCATGACCATAGCAAGAAAGCCATTGTATTTCTCCACTTCAGAAACATTTTTTAGACCCGAAACACTACTGTGTAGCCAGCAGGTGACATCTGCAATAGATGATTTAATGTTATGGTTTGTTACAAACTAGAAGTCCCATCACTGGAGCCATTTTTTAAAATGTATTTTTTATCCGATTAACCGATTAATCGAACTTAATAATCGGCTAACTAATCGATTTTGAAAATAATCGTTAGCTGCAGCTCTATTCCTGACTGACTGGCTCTTTTCTGAGTGCCTTCTGCTGTGCAATTTGTGTTTTAATTAGTGTACGAAATTTAAGTTACTGCAAGCCAGGGGCTACAACCATAAAGCCCATTCCCAGCAAAGACAAAATCAAAACACACCGATTTAGTGGAGTGAGGGAAGTGTTACACCTTCTGGTGATGTTTCTATTGCGGTTTATGTTTTTCTGTCCTTGTGACAACCATTCTCTCCATTCTTTATATGGGTGTCAACGGGTCAGGAAGTAAGGGAAAATATCCCCACAGACAGAAATACAAATTTGACAGAATTGTTCACTGCTCTATTTAAAAAACATGTGACTGGCATTAGACTTTAAAGTAAAACTGAAGCGTTTTTTTATTTTGGATAGGGATAAGGGAGACCCCCCCCCGTCGGCTTTTTTGCCATCGGTGCTCCATTGGGGAGATATCCCGATACTTCCGGATCCAATATCCACAACAGGAAGTGACAGGAAATCCCTCTGAAGAGAGGAGCCAGCAAGGTCACCAGAACTAGTGCTCCCATTGGAAGATTTCCCATCTGTTCGTGCTCGGGTGACAACCCAAAATTTGGGATTTTCTTTCACTTTCAGTGATAATGGTGACCCAAGACAAATAGAGGGGGTGCAATCCCTAATGGGGATATGGACAGCAATAAAAAGAAAATCTGGTTTCAGTTGCACTTTAATTTGTCAAGAAATACATGACAATGGCTATTCATTTTCTTTCTCTAATCCGCAGAGTAGCTATCAGGGCAAACTACAGGAAGTAAAATGATTCTCTGGTACGCGGAAGCCGCAGTGTTCATTGTACGCCGCTCTCTCCTCTTGCTTATTCACAGAACAATTTTTATTCTGTGAAAGATAGTCACGGAGCAAAAGACAGGAACAAAATAGGCGGAGGGACTACATGACAATGTGGACTTGGGATCAAAAGGAGGGGTCAAGGTCAAGTGTTTTTCTTTAAAATTTATTTTGACTGACTGGTGAGACACCATCACATTTTTCAAGCCCTGTATATGTATATATATTATTTTGTATGTAGGTGGGTGTACATGGGCACACACATAATTAGTTAATGAAAGTTTTTATATGGATTTGTTAATGTTTACATATTTGTAATAAAGGGCTGCTACAGCCAATTTATATCCAATACTGTGTGGCCTGTTATTTTAGATAAGGAAGAAAAAGGGGGGGTTGGCGGTTGGCGTAGCAGGGGTAGGTAAAAAAAAGAGAACCTAAGCCTTGCCCTAGTCATGGTTCACAGATTGCAAAGCCTTCTGTGAATGGGCAAGGGTTAAGGAAGGGCGGACAAATAACAGTACGGCTTCTAGGTAGAGTGGCACACTTCCTTCAATCAATGAAAGTGTGAATACTAAAGATAGTACAGAAGAAGCATCATGCTTGAAAGTCACATGCTCGGGGAAAAAAAAACCATGCATATGGGTCACACAGTTTAATAGCATGACTCATTTTATGACATTAATTGGTGTAAACAAAGTTACACCCTTCTATAACCATCAGCCTCGTCCACTGTTACAAACACTTTCCTATTAGCTTCAAGATGACCAGTTTTTTTTTGGTTTTTTTTTAGCTTTTTTTTAATTGACACAGCAATACAATGTATTAGACATGTGCCTTCGGATTCGGACGAACCTGCAAATCAACGAAATTCAGTTGATTTGGCGGTTCGTCCAAATCCGAAATATCGAATTTATTATATACTAAAACTATATTCGGGCATACATAAATTTGTTTGCAGAAAGAGCGACGGCCCTATTGGCCGCCGGCGCGTTCTGTGCAGGGGCGCCGCCATCTTTGAGTATATCTTGGTAGACGTTCAGAATACCAAGATACACTCAAAGATGACGACGTGGAAGGGCAGAACCCGTCGGCCGACATGGCCGCCGCTTGTTCTCCATTCTCACTGGACATTTTTCGGATTCGGAGGCTCATTGCCTCCAAATTCGAAACAGAATAAAAATGTGTTTTCTCTGATGAAACGAATGGAAACATTTTTCATTTTCATTTGTTTAGTCAGAAAACAAAAATTTTTTGCAGTGCACTTCTACAATGTATACAGATTTTTAAGAAATAAAAAAACAAGGGTAGTTTTTTTTTTAAGTTACTTTTTCAAGTAACACGAAAATAAATGCAGCATTTTTTTGCATTTGCAATGGAACGGAACACAGGCAGTGTTTTGCCACGTGTCCGATTGCACTGCGAGCGGGGGGGGCGTGGCTGCGGTGCCATTTACTTTAATGCGCCGCCACGTCCCTTCCCGTTGTTGTATTAGCGGTTTAGCCCTTGCTAAGACCTCTATGCCTGGCCTGTATAAGCAGATATAATCACTGCGGATGTAAAGAATGTAAACTTAGACACCCCCAAAATAATATTCTAATAACATGTTAAGGTTCTCTTAGTGAGAACACATTGACACTCTCAGCTAAACTACTGTTTTTACAGAGAGGACACAGTGACACTCCAAGCTAAAATCCTGTTGGTAGAGAGAGGGCACATTTACCAGAGCACCTGCTGCACTGTAAGTGGAAAGGGAAACTTAGTTACTTGTTTCTGAGGGAACTTCTTGTCAGTTACACACTTGTTCCCTCAGTGATGAGTGTCCTCCATTCTATTGCAGGTAAGGGAGATGATTCTTATAAGCATAACTGGGAATATAATAGATTAAACTGGTCTAGCTAATGTTCCAGTGACAAGTGAAAGTAAATGCAGTGTGATTATAGGAAAGGTGGCATCTTCCTTAGTGCAGCTTTGGGGGAGGATGTTCCCAGCAGACAGAGCACATGTTGATTCTGCATTTGGATGTTAATCACAATAATTCTGTACTGTACCTGCACAGTTGTTATGCTTTATATACTGTATTATTGTTTAGTCAGTTACACACTTGTTCCCTCAGTGATGAGTGTCCTCCATTCTATTGCAGTTCATATTAAAGCACCCTAATTTCACCCAACCCCGATCGCACTGTGGAGTTTATTTGTCAGAAGTGCAAAAAAATTGGCGCCCAACATGGGGCCGGGTGTCGCCGCCATTACATGAGGATAATTAACGATATGATGGATGAACTGGTAAAGAGTGAGAGTGAAGAGGCTGTTATGCAATTTCTTCAGACAACTAGGAAATTCATCTGTGAATTAGGGAAGAGAAAGGATGCTGAAGCAACAAGTGATAGTGACAAAGACCCCCAACCTGAACAACAACAGTTGGAATATTTAAAGCAACAGTACTGCATTATGCAGGAAAAATTTCAGGAAACAACTAAGATCGTAGAGGATCAAATTAAAGAACTCAGCACTAAAAGTAAAGATTCAAGGGACAGTCATTTAAGAAAAGAACCTGTTTTAACGGCTAAGACACCTCATTATAGTAACTTACCGGAAGTTGCAATAAGAAAGGACTTTAAAATTGCTGGTCAGATAGGAGAGAAGGGACAGACAGACAAATTGTCCTATACTAACCTCATGCACCAGATTTACTTGGGACTACGGAGAGGATACTCTGAACTAGAGGTGCGATTTCTGCTGGATCTGAGTCCTGAGCAGTACATGCAACAATGTTCTCAAGAAATAGATCCCAAAGTCATCAGCAGCATCACCCAGGCTATTCAAGTAAATCAAGAGGAAAGAATGCCTTGGCTTTGTCCACTGACAATAGCCAATACAATTCCAATGACAGACAATGGTGAATTAAAGGGACTATCAGAACAGCACAAAAAGAAGACCCTGTGATTGGGAAAGTATGGAAATATAAACAAGAGAACAAGTTTCCATCAAAACATGAGCGCCAAGGTGAGTCGTCTGATTTTTCTATACTCATGAGACAATGGCATAAACTTTATCTTGACAATGAAGGAATTTTGAGAAGAAAAACATCATCAGGTTCTCAGTTAGTGATGCCAAAGAAGTACCATCAATTAGTGTTTAAAGAATTACATGAAGAGATGGGACACTTAGGAGTTGAGAGGACTGTAAATCTAATCAGAGATAGATTCTTTTGGCCACATATGCAAAGGGACACCGAACATTACATTACTCAACAGTGTACCTGTTTAACCCTTTCGCTGCCAAGGACGTATAACATACGGACCTACAAAAGTGCTTCCAGCTGGCCAGCTCAGT